TACGCAAATTTTCGACATTGGCAAGGGAATCAAAACCTAAAGGGTACTTCCCGTGAACTTAGAACATTTTTTTGTTAATAAAGATAAAGAAGAAAGGAATTGACCCAGAACCGTAACTGATTACTAGTATTTTTAGTATAAAACCTAGTCTTCGTTTGTTATTTAAAATACGTATGATTTTCATGGTAAATAATAACGCATTAAAATTGTCTCTGACAGTGTGAAGCCACGCCCACCCAAAATTCCTCATATCCTTTATGTTTCTGAGTTATTTATTACACTTTTAAACACAGCGCTTTGCTCGAAGGCTTTTTGTTCTACTTTATATTCTTTAAGATGTCTTCGCGATGTCAAAGACTTTAATTACTTAAACAAATGAATGTTTGCTTAGCATAATTGATGTAACCTTTAATCCTTCGACATTTAAACATGTTTTTAAAAAATGTTTAAATGTCGAAGGATTAAAAAATATATATAGGTAGCCGATTTTCTGACCTACTCAATATGCTCATAAAATTTCATGAGAATCGGTCAAACCGTTTCAGAGGAGTATGGGAACAAAAATTGTGACACGAGAATTTTATATATAAGATATGTATTTTATTTTATGTATAAGATGTTATCTCTGTCTTCCAAAGTGGAGATATATTGTCATCTCTCCACTTTGGAGACTCTACTCCACTCTATTTTATACAAATGTTTCGCCAATGGAAACGTACAGTAAAATATGTTTCGAATGAAACTGAAAGAAAGAACTAAATATCATCGCTCGATTTTAAGATACATTTTATGACTATTGTTAAGAAAAAAATCCGACACTGTGCCAGTGTATTGGCGCAACACTAGCCCTACTAAAATATCGACGTTTATGTCCCCTCACTAATGATTCTGACACTTTCTTTGTAATGAAAGCGCGCTATTCGCGTCAAAGGATTATATCTAATAAAGTCTAAAACTATCAATGAAAAGTTCTGTATAGAGAAAGATATATACAAGGTAGTTAGTTTGAAGTAACATCCAATCGACTAAAACAATACGGTACAATACCATTTAACATACGAGTACAGATAGTATATGTTGTATTGTTTCTATGCTACTGTTTGTAATATATCTCGGTATCTCCGGATCTGTACTGAATGGGACGAGGTCGCGTGACCGCTCATGTTAGTTTCACTCTGTTGAATTCTATATAAAGCTTGGCCATCCTTATTTTAGTTGTCATTTGGAGATACGGAATCTAGAATTTAAAGATGTTTCTTAATAGCAATCTGAATTGTGCAGTTAATTTTGACAATTATAAGATTCGCGATGAATATTTATCAGAAACTTACTGTCGCCCGCAACTATATCCGTGCAGAATTTAAAAAAATATTAGTAGTCTTTGTGTTCTTCCAGACTATGTTCTTTATGTATGCCAAACTTCATCAATATCCGTTGAGCCGTTCCTGAGATATCTTCAAACAAATTTCCAACCATCCATATATATAAATTTTCGCATTTATAATATTAGTAAGATAAGACCCATGCTGCGTTACAGCTGACTTGTAGTTACACTGTTGTTCTTGATTTTACATTCTTCTTTATGTTTATGTATAAAACTTTGTTCATAGTAAGTAAATTTCTCTTTGCAGTAAATATGAAAAACTTATGAAATGAGGTTTTAATTCATAAAATTAATTAATAATAAGTACACCCCTGAACATTATAAACACTCGGCGCTCTTTACGCAAACGCAGTTCTATTAAAATATATTCATGTTCGCAGGAACATTGCGTCGGTAAATCTAGAGTCCGCCCGCTGGGCACCGACGAATAAAATCGCATCTAATGCCTGCTTAAAGTTTTCTTTATGCGCGCCCCGGGAAACCGCTCCGGAAATCATATTTCTCGTCCCTTAATAGTCTCTCAGCTTGTTTGCAGTATATTCTGAGAATTAGCCGCTTTACTTGCTTTGATACGGATTAAGTTGGCTATGTTTTCAGCGCCCTTGTGGGTTTAGGCGTTAATTTATGCGTGACTTCGTTAAATTAAATGTATAACAAAGGCACCTACATGTATTATATAAAATAAACTTAATTAATATTCTCTTATTGTACATGTTGAAAAAATATAAATTAAAAAAAAATAACGAGTGCATATAAATAATTTATTATAATTTATTTTAATAGCGGGACATGTCGCCGCCTTCGCAGCGCTGCGCCACGCAAAATGTAACCACCATATATCAGTTAATGCCGCAAAACATGCATTGTAATTTATTTACAGCGGCGTTTACTCTAAAAAGCATGTTCCTACCTTCGGAAAATGTCCCATTAAACAAGGGAAATTGCAAAATAGGATTTTCGTTTTTGCAACGAACGATACTTCGGCTAATGTAAACGTATAAATTGGAATTTGGTGGATATTAATACCGACGAATGACCGACTCAGCCATCCTAAAGTGTGTCGATGATGCGCACTTTGATTTTAAAACCACAATATATCTGAGTCCTTTTACATTTTTACGTCTACAACCAAATTTCTAACTTAGTGGTCACCTATGTGTAATTATAGCAAGTCTAATTTTAAATATTGAAAACGCAAAAGAATTGATAAATTATTAGTCCAGAGTGAACCGACGTCATGCGTGGATCAAAGTGGCGTTCGACTTCACAGAATCGGGGATTAATCATATGAATGAGTTACGTCCAATTAGTGTCGATTCAATGAACTTTATTTTCGATTCGATTAATTTCAAACGACTGAAGAGATAATCATAGATAAAGATGTCGAGAAATTTAAACACTATTCCTTTTTCTATAACTCAACACATAAATATGAAAATAATATGCAAAATGAAAAGAATACAGCAGAGTAAGTAATCATGAATTCTTTATGGAAACACTCTTACGACGCAATGTTAGTAATTGTGGTCATTTGAAAAGTTTTAGTGGCTATAACGGCCCCTTTATTTTCCCACAGAGCGGCCACTGCGTAGATTTACGTGTGACCAAATATCAAGGGGATGCTGCCGGGTTACATTACCCATAATATTACATTTACTGGAAGCGATTCTAATTTCAAACGGAATATAATTTTCCATTTCTTCGTTACGCACGAATAAAATTTGATTATCTGTTTTTTAATGATAAGTTAAGTAATTTGGATTAAAAACGCAGCTTTGAAATTACGAATTTATACGGAGACTCTTTCGCAGCCAGTCTTTACAATAGTTTAAAAAAAGTCGGTTAGTAAAATAAGGTCTAAAGCGTACACAATTTATAAGTATAACTTCTTGATATAGCTAATACGTAGTAGATAATAAAGGAAGCTTTATTCATTTATATAAAAGGAAAAGCGAGCTAAGTGTGTGGCAACAACAAAGGTTGTTTACCCCGCCTACGCCATTAAAGCAAACGCAAGTTAGATAAAGTAATAGAATCCTGTTTCACTTTGTACGTAAGCTTTTTAAAAGCATAAACCATTTCATTTCACATCGTATATCCTCTTACAAGAAACGGAATAAATGCTACTTTTCTATTTAGAGTAGTTTCTGAGAGCTTATTATGTTTAAATAACAGCTTTAATTAGATTAACTGTTTCTCTTTTAAATATATTTATCGTTGTGAGTTTATTTATCTTTTTTTTATATAGTATTTTATCTGATATTGGTAATCAATTTAATTAGTACAGATCAATATTCCTCTCGGTTGTCATATGTGAATTGCCCTTTAAATGAAATTTAGAATTTAAATTTCTACTTGCATTATCATCTACTTGCATATATTTATAATTTTAAAACGTTTAAACGTGACTGATATCATAGCTATAGGTAAAAAGCGTCGGTAACAGAATTAATTAAGCTGTTAGGATTTTTTCTAATTATCCTATTTTTAAGCACCATTAAATATTGCATTGTGAATCTGCTTTAACATTCAAAATGGTGCTTATCTCAGCGTTGAAACGTTTTCACTGATTTTGCATTCTCAAAAGGTCAAGATTTCTCAAGTATTACTACAAAATGCGAAAAACTCTTGATGGTTCTACTAAAGAAATACAAAGAAATGAAATATCGACGAATTATCAGGACAGTTTTCCTAGATTCAGCCTCTCTTTGTAGATTTGAAATTGTATCGTTAAAATAACAGGTTACTCTGATCAGAGATCAATATTTTCAAGGTATTATAATAATGTTTAAACGAACTTAAGTACATCAACAATTACTGTCTTTAAATATTGCGGTAAGTACTTTAATAAAATAAATGGAAACGACATTTCCCAGTGGTATAACGACAAGCAATAACATCGAATTTCCATATTTTGCCACGCATATTAATTACGAACAGTTAACGTGCGGCGCAGAGGCGCATTAGCTTAATTCGATTCTGGATACCGCTTCGATTTTATTATTTTTTCTGATCACGTGAAATCGTAGCTATATAGCTAATGGAATTTCTATTGAATTGTACGGAAATAGTTTTGCAGTATGTATACATAGTGCATTAAATTAATAATAAATGTCTTGGCACTATGATTAGTAATTACATTTAATTAATATTTTCTACAACATTAGCTAACTGTAGATTTCACATACTAAATATACACTAATTAATTTTTAAATCATTTTTTTTTATTTTAACAATAAACTCCTTTGATTAACCTTTGTGAAATACAAAAGGGTCATTTATATTTTTGAATAGTCGATTTTAAACAGTAAATGGGACGATTTAGGCAATAAGTGTAAAGGAAAATGTCGATAACAGACACAATTAATCGTATGGATAAGAGGCTATCAACGATTGACCCGAAAGATATTTGAACCCTACAAAATTATCATCGAGTTTAACTTTTAAAAGACGTAATATTTTTAATATTTTATGAAAACATAACATAACTAAATATCTTACCATTGTATAATAATTAGGATAAATGATTACAGCAACTTTTTAAGGGCACTTAAGTATAAAAAATCAAATTGTCATGTAATAAATGTATTGTACATCAATAGGTTTTACCTAAATACTACGCATTTTGTGTTTTTCGTGGTATCAATTTTAATGGAATTCCGTCATCGCTCACTTGCACGATGTACGCTATTTTTTTAGACTTGATATCTTTCTTAGAAGATAAAGCTGGTTCAACATTAAACTTTTGCAGTAATCCAACTAGTCCAGTTAATGATTCTATAATCCCTAAGCGAGCACCTGTAATTGAAAAACAGAAAACTTAAGTAAAATTAAGTAGTAATATAAAATAAATCTCTTAACATTTGGGGTACATTTGTGATGTTACTGTTCTGCTATAAACAACATTTAAACAACTTAAAACCTTACCTATACATTTTCTAGGTCCTTCTCCAAATGGCAGATAAACATATCTGTGTCGTGTTTTTACTGTTTCAGGAGAAAATCTATTAGGTTTGAATTCTGATGGATTATCATAGTATTTTTCATCCATGTGCAATGCTTGAATAGGTATGATAACTTTCGTTCCAGCTTCTATAGTTAATCCGAGTTCAGGTATAGTATAATTTTGTATACAGACTCGTAATGTCAATCCACCTGGTGAAAATATTCTCATAGATTCTCTCAGAACCATTTCTAGGTAAGTCATTTCCATTATTGCTTCGTAGCAAATTTTGTTGTCGTATTTATGTAGTATAGTATCAATTTCTTGATGCACTTTCAATTGTATTTCAGGGTGAAATGCTAGTTGGTGTAAAGTACAACTCATAGAAGTAGCTGAAGTTTTAAATCCAGCAGCAAAGAATATAAATAGTTGTGCTGCAGAAATCATTGGAGTTATTTCAAGTTCAACTTTCTTAGGTGATCCATTCTCGTCTTTTATATCGAGTGAATCACCTTGAAGTGTTTTGTTTTCTTCTAATTCTAATAAAAGATCTACAAAATCGTTTCTACCTGAAGGTTTATTGTTTCTTTGCTCTCGTAAGCTTTCCATAATATTCATTATAGTAGTTTGTACTTCTTTATTGGCAATCGGAATCATGTCAATAATCTTAATACCAGGAAATAAAACTCGTAGAGCCAAAAGTAGCATTTGTTTTTTGGATTTTATAAAAATAATTTCTCTTAGTTTTATAAATAGAGATTTTTCAGTATTTATTGTATTCATTTCAAGACCAAAACCACAAGCACCTATAAACTCGATTGTAAAACGAGACATTAAATCTACAGCACTAATTTGCTCACCTTTATTCGCCAATATTTTAGCAACTGCTTGAAGTTTGTCTGTACATTTTAATATCAAAGGAAACATGTTTCGTAATTTGTTGCTGGTGAATGCCGGCGAAAGACCATGTCTGAGTAATTTCCAGCGATCACCATCACTGGAAAATACATTCAACATAAGAGGTTCATATTTTGGATCTCTTCCTACTCCGCGGGCATGGAAATATGAGAAATCAACATTAAGAATTTTTTTTATGATATCAGGATCTCTGATAATAAGTTCTGGAGTTGTTCCGCGGTAATATCCAACTACCTTTTCAGTTTTATACTTCTTATATAAATCACAGACGTCTTCTATATCACTTTTCTTTCCTATTAAAACTTTATAATAATTGCCGAAAAGTGGTATTGGGAGATCGTATTTAACGTTCCTTAACATCCAGTATGTATAATTACGGGATGACAAAAACAAAACTATTATTCCGATAAAAATAAACAGCACGATCATCTTGTCTATAATTCAATACTTCAAAGAAAATTATGTACAATGTTAATACTGAGAGTTATTATATGTTGTATTAAGGTTATCGCGCACTTAAAAGCAACTTATCCAACGACATCGCATCGCCACGCGATTGGCGCAACGTGAGCTTACCACTGCTAGTATGTATAGTGATGGTGCTACGCTACAAGGCGCTAACACTATTTGTGAAATGTTAAGTGCGTGATAACCTTTATATTTATTTGGACAGATGTACAAACGCATTCGGGTCATTGTCCTAATAAAACATTTATTCTTCAAGTGATTTAACAATATATATTTATTTTATATGATTAATATCAGCAGCAGTTTACTTTTTTTCTGATAATTACAAAATAACAGTATATTGAAATCTCTTATTTTAATCTGCTGCGTTTTTTTTATTTATATTATTTCCTTCTTAGCATCTATGCAGTTATATGGTGTGTATATTATTAGGTTATGTGTTTGAATTATTTTAACACGTGATTCTAATCTTACCAATATTATAAATGCGAATATTTGAATGGATGCAAGGATTTATTTGAAGGTAACTCCAGAACGGCTGAACGGATCTCGATGAAATTTGGTATAGACATAGAGCATAGTCTGGAAGAACACATAGGCTGATAATTATGTTTTTTTAAATTCTCCACGGACGGATTCGCGGGCACCCGCTAGTGTATAATAATTTCGATTTTATATACAATAAGAATAATGACACCATACCAACTGTACACAGTCCTATATTGTGACTAAGCTTAGTCTATATTTGCACAGCTTGAATTTGCCAGTCAATGTACTGTTAGGAAGAAAATCCGATACTGGCACAACACTAGCCTTAATAAAATGTCGACGTTTATATCCCCTCACTAATTATTTTGACACTTGACTTTGCAATAAAAGCGCGCCATTCGCATCAAAGGATTCTAACTAATAATGTCTAAATGTACCAATAGCAATTCAAACAATTTATAATAACTAAGTTAGAAATAAATTATATTTATATAATTACACTCAATATGGCGATGACCTCTTAAACTATGTACAAGTATTTTAACAACTACTTCGTCATCAGCTTTTAAGATATTATTGTCTTACTGGATAGTGACACCGACTAATGTTACACGACTCAATCATGACTTAGATGTAGATATGATGGCTGATAAAGATGTATGTAAGAGCAGTAACTTTTAGATTCTAAGGTGGCAAATGAGCAAGTGGCCACCTAAATTCGTCGAAATAGCGAAGCGGCCGCTACTCATTGCCATCTGACTTTAATCGATGGAGGAGGGGACGCAGAGGAAGAGAATATTTTTCCTTCCTATGCTTCGATATAAATCGACTTTATCCTCTCATCCCCCATAAGAAAAGGGCGGTAAGGAAAAGAAGACCAAAACGAGGTCTCCGTCACTCCACGCTTCTCAGATGAAACGCGAAACTACCTCTACTACACGCCTGTCAGCAGTAGTAAGCAAAATGGTTACAGAAAAACGATGAAGAAACTGGCTCAATACTATGCTTTATAACCTCAATAGAGTTCCCTAACCAGAGGGTTAAACATGGATAAGATGACGATATGATCTTCGTGTTACATCCACTTAAATAATCATCAGAATGCATACTCTCGAAGTTGACAACTCCGAGAAGGAGGTCAATCGTCGAATCCGACTTATACGGAAGTGTTTGGGTAGTTTCTCAAGACGAAAGTCGTGTCGTGTTGCCAGTATTGTCCTAGGGAACTGAGACAGGCCATATGATCGAAACAGAGGCAGAACAAATAATAATTACATTTATTTTCTTAATATCTTTTATTCAGTTCATTTGATAAGTTTTAACAATTTTAGTTGCGTATCCGAAGTAATTTACAATCGTTTTCAATAGAAACTTACTTGATGCTGTGCTTGAAATTAATCGCTAATCAAAATAATATAAAAACAACTAACAAGCTACAGTTTTACATAATTTTCTGTCTGTTCTTTTTACAGATATAATTAAGTTAGTATTATTGTTTTAGAGAGTTTTCTTCCTTGGCTTGAGTAAAATTGGTATATCTTCATCGAGTGCTTGAATGATAAAAGCATTGCGTTTGACTTTAAAAGTGCGTTTTGATGATGGTCCTGGATAAACAGTGAAATGTTGTAATATAGTCGCCAAACCACTCATTGTCTCTATAAGACCAAGGCGGCTCCCTGCAAAAAAAAACATCAATTTAAAAAAATGTAGAAAGTAATTTGTAATTTAAATGTTTGATTATCGCATACCAATGCACTTTCTAGGACCTCCTCCGAAAGGTAAAAAGGCATATTTATGACGTTTACTTTCTTCTTCCGCTGTAAATCTTTCAGGTCGAAATTCATCAGGATTGTCAAAATTATGAGGATCTAAATGTATCGCTTGTGCAGGAATATTTATAAGTACACCTGGATCTATCGTAATATTAGTTCCAGGTATAACATATTTCTTCATACATTCACGTGATATATATCCAGCTGGTGTAAATGTTCTTATCGCCTCCTTGATTGTCATATGTAAATAAGGTAGTTCCATAATAGCATCGTAACAAATTCCATTGTATTTTTGTAGAGTTTTATCAAGTTCCTCTTGAACTTTACGTTGTACATCTGGATGATAGGAAAGTTGATGCAACGTCCAACTCATCGTAGTTGCAGATGTCTCAAAACCGCCGGCGAAGAATATAAACAATTGAGCAGCTGTATGCATTTCAGTATAATTTAACTTTATTTTAACGGGTACACCATTTTCGTCTTTATTCAATATTGAGTGGTCTTCGATAACTTTTTCCTTTTCTAATTTTAAAAGTATATCAACAAAATCATTTCTTTGTATATTTTTCTCGTTTCTTTCTTTACGAATGATATCCATTAAATTCATAATCGATGTAATTATTTCATTTCTTGCTACTGAAATTTTCTTTATGAAACTATCTTTTGATAAAAATTCTCGTAACGCTAAGAAAAATACTTGCCATTTGGTCTTAGTGAATATAATCTGTCCCAGTTCGATAAAAAGAGATTTATCTGTATTTAATGTGTTCATATTAATTCCAAATCCACAAGAACCGATGAATTCCATTGTGTATCGCGCCATTAACTCGTGCGCTGATATCTCATTGCCACGTTCGGATAGTTCCTGGGCGACCGCATGAAGCCTTACCGTACATTTCTGTATTAAAGGAAACATAGCTCGTAGTTTCGCTGACGTGAATGTTGGAGAAATAGCATGCCTCAATAATTGCCAAAGATCACCTTGCGAATGAAATAGATTAAGCATTAACATTTCTTCATGATCCCTTCCAAGGCCACGTCCGTAAAAACTGACATAATCATTTACTAGAATATGTTTCACTAAATCAGGATCTCGAATTATAAGTACCGGTGTCTTACATCTGTAATATCCAACTAATCTTTCATTTGGAAATTTCCTATACATTTCCATACCCATTTCTATCTCAGTTCGTAATCCAAATATATTTTTTATATGATTACCAAATATTGGTAGTGGGAAATCATGTTTGATATTTCTTCTGTCCCAATACGTAAAGCTTTTGTAATGCCATATCAAAAGTATTAGAATTATAAAAATAATTATAAATATCATTTTGATTCACACAGATAACTAATCTAGTAACGCGTTACTGTATATAGCACGTAATTTCACACTAACTGCATATTATATACACACTTTTATATGTCTAGTGATGGGATAAGTTACAATTGTTATTAATCTTACTAATTATTATTTAATTATATACATTTCTAATATAATACATTTCATATAAAAAAAATATATATATACAAAACATATTATATTAAAAAGAGAACACCACCGGCTGCTTAAATCTTACTATTATTATAAATGCGAATGTTTGGATAGATGCATGGATAGGTCAACGGATCTCGATGAAATTTTATATAAATATAAAAAACAATCTGGAAGAACACATAGGCTACTTATAAAGTTTGTTTTTAATTCCGCACAGACGCAGCCGCGTTGACAACACTTAATAAAGGTTGATAGTTGAATTCGTTGATTTGATAGAACTTACAAATTAGACAAAGTTATTTTTTTAATTGTGCCATTTCAGTATTTTTAAACCATTCACTGGTCATTCTTTGGTTATTGTGAATTAAATTTCATAATATTTTAAAGCATTTTTATAAAATGTGTTGCCAATAATTTTACGGCAATAAACTGAAATTCAAATATTATTCTGTTTTAATTTATTTAATACTGTTTATAAAATATTATTGCTGAGAAAGTTATCTATAAAATGTATAATTATTTAATAAAATAAATTGTGTTATAAGACATCACTAAAATTATAAAAATATTGACCGGGTTAAAAAGTCTGGCAGCTGTTTGTACAATTGACAATAAGAAATTATAACAATTAATTTTATTTTATACTTTATGAAAAAAAAACTTTTTGAATTAATGTGGACAGTAAATACAGGTGTTGAGTTCATTTTTATTGTCTATTTATATAAATATAGACAAAGCATTGAAGTCAACATTGTCTTGTCCTTATCCTTTTCGATTTATTATAAGCGTAATAAACGTTAATATTGCTCTAAATGAACCTAAAATAGGGTTATTAATTAAAATAAAATCTATAAATTGACGTATATTTACTAACCTTACTCATAGAATAAATGCGAATGTTCATGTTTGGATGGATGGAAGTTTGTTTGAAGGTATCTCGCTGAAATTTGGCATAGTTCTAGAACATAATCTGTAAGAACACATAGGATATTATAAGTTTTTAAATCCACGTGTATGGAGTCACGGGTGACAGCTAGTCTCTAATAAAATTAGATAATTAAACCCACTTAAAGTAACGTAATATTTATTTGAAATATCTTGCTCTTCGTTAAAATATTGTTGAAAGCTGCATAATTATTAAAAACTCTGGCCAAAAGGAAACTATTATTAAAAAGAATAGTAAATTTTCTTTTTCGCCCGACTGTTAAGACAGGTTAATGGTTGCATAATTGATGTCAAGCCTCCTACTTCAGATATATTGTTAAAATGAAAATGAAAATACATTTTTTACTCTGAAGAATATTATAAAGAATAGTATATAAAAAATATGATGTAAATAACAAACAAAACGGAAAATCGTTGATAAGTCAACTTACTGTCCGTATCATCATCATCAACCTCCCCTTATCCCTACGGAAGGTCGAAACAGTATGTACTACTCCATACCTCTCTATAAGCCGTCATATCTGAATTCACCCCCTTCTTACGCATATCCTCTTTCAAACAACCCATTCAGTCAACTGTCTGTCCGCAGTCATCGATATTGCGATTGTTAAAAAGTCATTTCGTTTGAAATTTGTTCACAAGCTGACAATGCTTCGATACATTTTAAATGTAAATGTTCCGATCAGCCGCAACTTTAATATTTTAACGTGGAAACGCGTGCAAGTGAATTAATTATTCAAATGAGTTTGCGGTACAATGAAAATTAGCGTGGCTTAAAATAATTCAAGTCCTTGTATCATAGTGTTCTTTTTGCTTTTGCCCAATTTACTGGATGTTTATGGATGACCATATGAATGTGTGTTAATATTGTGGTGGGTTATATGACTGTCAGTTAGTATAAGAAAGACATTAAGAACCAAACCGTACCCTCATAAAGATGTACCACTGGTATAGTTTTGACTTGATAAGAAGGGACTTTCCGGATGAGGGGATGCATGGGATGGGAAAATATTTTCTTTCTGCGCATCCTCTCCTCTGTCGATTAAAGGTAGGCAACGCATATGTAATTGCATATGTCTATGGGCAACGGCCGCTTTGCTATTTCAGCGATTTCAGGTGACCGCTCGCTCGTTTGCCATAGCGGTACGAACGATAACATTCGATTATAATTTAAATTTTAAAGAAAAGTTCTCGTAATGTCCGCTTTATAGCAAACAATATTTTTGAATCACTTTAAAAAAAATAACGAAAGTGTACATCAACTGCTTGTTATTTTTTAAATGTACTAACTATTTTCGTTGCATTTAAATTAAGAATATAACATAAATATGGTATTATAATTAAAGGAAAAATTAGATATTGCATGTAACATTCAAAATGGCGTGTCGTAAATGTAAATTTAACAAGGAAATACATATTTTTCGTGCAAATATTCACCGAGAACATTTCAGTCACGTAAAACTACTTCATTTATAGTAAGAATGCAAAGTATAGAGCCATTTAAATATTAACTGAAAATTAACAACTATTGTATAAATAATGTCCCACTTCGAATTGTTCGAATTTAATTGCTATAAGAAAAATATTTTACTACTATTAAAATAAATTATTACTGCGCTAAAAATGATGTAGCATACCTGAAAAATATCTAGAACGTAGCATAGAAATGGAAGTACTTTGTTACTGAACAAATAACATTCACATTACTAAATAACTAGCCGTCCGCGTAGCTCGTCGCCTGTGTTCTTCTAAAGTATATTCCACGTATGTGTTAAATTCTACCGATATCCGCCGAGCCATTATATACAACCATCCATCCATCCAAACATTCGAATCTATATATATAAAAGAAAGTCGTGTTAGTTACACTATTTATAACTCAAGAACGGCTTTACCGATATGGCTGAAAATTGGTCAGGAGGTAGCTTAGAGCCAGGAGACGGACATAGGTTACTATTTATTGATTTTTTTTGAATTTATGCCTTGAAGAGCTGCTTTTTATTTAACTTACTAATATTACTAATACGAATGTTTAGATGGATGTGATGTGAATGGATGGATGGGTGGGCTACAATAATTAAGTTTTTATGTATCCACGCGGACGGAGTCGCGGGCGACAGCTAGTTTATAATATAAGTGAGATTAATATCAGAATTCAAAAAAGCGTCAATAGCCTAATGGTTAAGTATACGGATTTCCGATCACGAGGTCGGGGGTTCGAATCCCGCCATTCGACTATTATCGTAAACCATATACTAGCACAAGCCTAGAGCTTAATTGGAATGGTAAAAGAAATAGTAGTAAATTTCCAAAAAAAAAAAAATAACATTTAGAATATTATGTACATTTAGTGCTATAAATATTTATAGCACTAAATGTATATATTTTAATCGATACAATATATTTTAATATTGTATCGATAGCAAAATAACACAATTTAATATATAATCCTGTCTCACGTTTCTTCAAAAGCTATAAAAATGTAATCACAATACTGTCGACGAAACATTTTAAAGAACCCCTTTCTCTTCTAAAGCTCTTAGTTTATTTTTATTAGGCTATCAAAAGGGAAATTTGGATCTTAATGTATTTTACCACAACGTAGATTTATACAATATTTGTAACAACTCGTTAAATTAATAATAAACAATATTATTAAAGGAAAATTTGTAATTACGCGGACAATATTTTAAACCAAAATTTATAAAGCTTCATTCAACTGCTTTGATAATGAATAATAAAAATAATGAAAGCTTACTTTATATAATGTTTTTTTTTATCATGCCAGTGCTATAACGGTCTTTAGAATACTTTAATAATTTCCAATTAACGAGTAAGCCAGTTATTAAAAGCAGGATTCCTTTGAAATTGAGTTGTTAACCGATTTGTAAAAGGAACCAATTTCAGAGCAGCACGGGTAGCTGTTACCACTTAAACGACTTGTTTTCAATCGCTTTTTCTCCGTTTTTTTTTCCTACAAAGTGGAGCAGTCGTTAAAACTTTTTGATGAGCTTCCTTTAATTGTTAAGGATAACTCGTTAACGTTACACGGGCCGATTGTAAGCAATTACATTAGACCGTCTGCTAGGCCATTCCCCTATTAGTGTTTTCATAATTTCACTTACAGAAAATACTTTAAACGCTGCTTACCATCATTTTGTAAAATAGTTAATTAATATAGTTATATTTTTTTATCGTATATGAATTTGCTTACATCGCAAAATAACAGCTGCCAATAGACATACGCGTTTACAGACGCACTACCAACCTTAAAAAATTAATTTAGATCGTTTACTCTGAAGTAAATATTTTAACAAAATGTTTTTATTTTGTCCTGTCTTACAAGTTGTTTAACCCATTTGTCTAACGTTAGAATAACACATCGCTTCACACAAATTGCTGTGTGTAAAAGCAAATTTGTAATGAATTGTTTATAAGACGTAATTATCAAACCACATTCTATGGGCCACTGTCTACGCGGTGGTTATTATAAAAGTTTCAATGTATATAACACCATATTTTAAACTTATTCTTGCAAGCTACTGAAATATTCTAATAAAATTAACTCATCATCATCATCATCAGACTATGCGTACCCACTGTGGGGCTAGGAGCCTACCCTTAGTTAGGGGTGACTGGGCTATAGAACCACGCTGGTCCAGTGCGTGTTGGTTGAATTGATAAATATTACTGAATTCCACCGCACCGCAACGTCGGGTAAATGTACATTTGTAAATAAAAAAAGCAAAGTTACATGGCGGGTATTCAAACCCAGGGCCTGCAGTTTACAAGTCAAGTGCTAACCGCTACGCCAACAACGCTGTAAATAAACCGACAGTTATGTTTTTTTTTTAAATTTAGATATCATATTACTATGAAGAAAACAAATT